ATAGAGCAATAATGTATAATAAAAGAATACTTTACTTTTTAGCTGTTAACATTTTCTAGAGTCTATTAAATACACATACATATAAAAGGAAAGCTAGTGGAACAATTTTTTTATAAATTGCAACACAACTGAAAACGTTGAAGACTTCATTGCCAATAACAAATGTTTAACAGATAGGAAAAGAATGACAGCAAGAGTAGACACTGTTGTGATTACAACATATTGCAAGAGACAGTATGAGTGCACAGGCATTAGTACATAAATATAAAAAACACACACACACTTTGGTACATTATCTACTCAGAATATAAAAATATTTTAGTGTCTTAAAGATAAAAATTCCAGGCATGGTATATATTTTTTTTTTTACAGAGTTACACTGGTCCAGCTCAGACCAACACAACTATGTATACACCATACTTGGCCATGCCCCTGGAAGCTGAAAAATCACAAAAGTAGTTACCACTACTTCAGTGATCTCCACTTGCTTCCAAGTCCCGCAAACATAGCAAGTCGGCTGCTCAGCACGGGTACCAGAGAGCGCTTTACATTTTCTGAATGAATGCAAGGCAATCTGATTGTATGAGGCAGGGTGATGTCACTCTGTTCACCTCATCCAACCAGCGAACACTTTCCATCCATTCAGAAAATGCAAAGCATTCACTGAATGGCATACATGTTAAGCGGCTGACCTCTGTATTCACAACGCCTCTTAGATTATAAGCTCCAAGGAGCAGGGCCCTCCTAACCCTCTTGTATCGTCACACAGTACAGGACCCAGAAGCAAGTGGACACCACTGGAGTAGCAGAGTATACGTCAGTAATTTCCAGCTTCCAGGGGGCATTGGCCAGGTATGCTATACTCATAGCTATATTGGGCCAAGCTGGACCAGTGTAACCATGTAAAAATATACCATGCCTAGAATTCTTTTTAATCATAGGCAGACAAATTTAGCTTACGGTTATGCTTTAAAAAGGAGAACTGTAATGAATGAACAACCCCCTCCAGGTCAAAAAGTTCTCAGCTGCCAATGATCCTGGCAGATCCACATTGCAGCCCACAAGCAAAAAATAGTCACTGATGGAAATTTCCTGGCTGGTTCTGAACTCTTCTGCACATGCAGAGACAGAATCCCATTGGCTATCAATCATGTGACCCAACAACTGATAATTCCATTCATTTCTATAGAAAAGCTAAGTCCACACAGAAGACTTTAAACCAGACAGGAGAGTTTCTAGCAGCAGCTGTGCAATTCCCCATACGACACATTATGGATCCGCCAGGATTGTGGACAGGTAAGTACACGTCTTGGGGAAAAGGGGAATGAAGAGACCAAGGGGACAGTCATTTAAATGACCTTTACAAAAAGCAAAGTTATCCTTTAAGTTGACTTGATCCTCCAATGAAATAATATGATCCCATTTCCTGAACAATACAATTCCAGATATTTATGTGGATTGCACAGTACAGGAGGAAATGGCATTTTAGTAACATTTCAGTGTAACCATTATTTCCCACACAGAATAGGGGGTGATCTATGCAACAAAACTCCTATTTTTTAATCTTTCAGGAAGTTAACCAACTGATTTCTATTTACCCTGCTTTAGGTGAAGAAATAGGACTTCACTTTATAAACTTTTGTTGGTGATAATACACTTGCTAAACCCAACAAGTGAAAAAGTACAAGTTTTTTTTTTTGGTAACGGTTTTGCTCTATACCAGGGGTGGGCAAACTTTTTGACTCGAGGGCCGCAATGGGTTCATATATTGGACCCGGGGGCCGGACCAAGAGTAGATGAATGAGCCCCGCCCCCCACTAGCTGCTGGCCGGCCCAGCCACTACCATGCCATCCATAGTAAGTATAGTAATATTCCCCCATAGTAAGCATAGTAATTAATCCCCCATTAATTCATCCCCCATATAGTAATTCATCCCCCATATAGTAATTCATTCCCCATATTAATTCATCCCTCATATAGTATTTCATCCCCCATAGTACTATCCCCCCCCCCCCCCCCCCCCCCCCCAAGTAGTAAGCCAAGTCCCCCCTGTGTCAATTTCCTTACCTTTGCTCCGCGCGTTTCTCTCGCCGTGTTCCCGCGCCGTTCCGGTCTTCAGGGCGGACTGTGAGAGGAGCCTAGCTCCCCTCACGTTCGTCACGCTGCCCCGCCTACACACATCCTGACAGCCAATGTTTGCCTGCCCTGGCTGTTTTTTTTTTTGGATCACGCTCCGCGGGCCGGATTAAAAGGTCCGCCGGGCCGTATACGGCCCGCGGGCCGTAGTTTGCCCATTGCTGCTCTATACTGTACCTATTGCGTCACCCTACATAGATAAAGCACAGGTTTGCTTTTTTTTTTTTTTTTTTTTTTAAAAGGATATCCCTCTAGTAAGTATATATTACCTTTCCTACTTCCCATGCCAATAATCTCTAAGAGCAGCATTCTATCGCCAGCTGACACTTTTTTGTTGAATGGTTACAACTACTCCACTGAGCACAAAGTATGAGCATTGGGAATTGGAGAACATTTATTTTGTTATTAAAGTGAAATTAGACTTTTAAATCCTCACAAAGATAAAGATTAAAAGGTAAATTCAAGGTATGAATTGTTTTGCAAGTTTACATTAGTCCAGCTTGGACCAATGTAAGCATGCATACACTATATCTGTTGGACTGCTCTGGAATCAGATAATCACTGTAGTAGTCACCACTACTACAGCGACTGCTGCTGTCTTCTGGGTCCCGTGCCAAGCAGCTGGCTTGCTGCATAGTGAACACAGGGAGTTGCTAGCTTGGCTTGGACACCATTTCAAGAACACCTTGCATTTTTGCTCAATGAATGTAAGGCATTCTCTGCTTGGATCTCATGATCTCATGCTGAGAAAGATGCAGGGCATCTGTGAATGGCATGAGACCCTGAAGACAGCAGCAATCACTGTAGAAGTAGCAGCAACTGCAGTGATGCTCTGCTTCCAGTTGTCCCACAGGCATGACATATGTATACTTACAGTGGGTCAAGCGGAACCCCCAACTATGCAAAAAAAAGCACACCCAAAACAACAATATAGCTGTAAACATATCACCTTAAACTACCCCCCCCCCCACCCCCACTGATTTCTCTTTAAAAATCAATTAAAAATGATAGACAAACATATGGTAAACACACTCCAAATGTCCAAGTATACCAGCCCCAATTCTGTGCCTCTTGAAATTCATGCACTCAACACACTTTGTAGTCTGAGGGTCACGCCGCTTTTCAGTATTATAGCTACCTGTGTCACCTTCCCTCTGCTCACTGGACTATGACTAGCACCACACTGGTGAGGGTCTTCCTGTGCTTTCCACCTTTCCTACATATCTTCTCCACCTCCCAAATACCTGAAACATGTTAGATGGACTGCATAGTCCTTTAAACTGCCACTTTTTCACCCTGAGGTCATCACAGAGGACAAGGGGGCAATCTTTACATCTGGAGGAAAATAAAAGTTAAATCTCCAAACACGGAAAGGTTTCTTCACAGTAAGAGCTGTGAAAATGTAGAATAGACTCCCTCAAGAGTTGGTTCTGGCCAGCTCAGTGGATTGCTTTTAAAAAAAAAAAAAAAAAATAAAAGGCCTGGATTATTTCCTAGATATATAACTGGTTACTAGCATTTATTAGGTAGAGTTGATCCAGGGAATATCCGATTGCCTCTCGGGGGATGAGGAAGAAATTTCTCTGCAGAAGCAAATTGAATCATGCTTTGCTGGGTTATTTTTGCCTTCCTCTGGATCAACTGTGGGTATAGGATTATAACTTTTTTTTTCTTTTTAAATGGTTGAACTGGATGGACTTGTTTTTTTCAGCCAGACTAACTATGTAACACTTGCTACTGCAACCTGTGACTGGCCAACAGTACTGGCAATTCTAGTTCTAACCTGAATTTTTGTGTGCAGGCAAATATGGTAAGTTTATACAGTATTTATGGTCATTATAGTATTACATTCTAAAATGATTTTCTGATTGAACATATAACTGAAGGAAAAGGAGTTTATCCGCTAACACTTTGCAAGTGTAGACTACTTACAGGAAGGTTGGTTTCCTGTCTTGGTTTCCATTTTGTACAGTATATTTTGCTATGCAATACACCAGGTACGTCAGCTTGGCTTATAACAAATGTAACTGTCAATAACTGTCAGCTTATGTTTAGTATACTCCGCTAGCTGTGTCATTACTCAATACTGATGTTCACTGACTCATGTCTTTCAACATTCACAAAATGCACTTTAAGCACTTTTCAGAGCTTCCACTTTAGTGTAAATTTAACATTTTCCCATCTTCTGAACAAATTAAAAATAAGGGAAAAAAAAAAAAAAAAAAGGTTTAAAAAGTTTATAGATGTCAAGCAGTTTTGCTACTTCTGTCAGTATCATTACAATGACTACAGGCAGTAAATGTAACTCAGCGGAAACTGGATTAGCAAGGTAACACGTTAACAGAAGAGAGACTTAAGAGCTGCAGGTCATGCCATGCACCCTATGTAACAGGATGGTAACCAAATTAATAAACAGCCAGTTACAGACAAATAAAAAAAGGACATATTGATTGATGAAGGCACATGACCCTTTAGGCAACCAAAAGCCATTCCCTAAGCCTCTTTCAGGAAATGTAGGTGTGTGAAGACATCCTCCTTGTAACATTCGAAAACCTTTCCATACAAGTTGAAGAAAAAAACAGCTTCAGCCATGTGGACCAAGTGCTTCCAAAGAAAGTAACAAAGCCAAGAATGTCATAAGAGAATGTAAATAGTTCCATAGATCACAATCTGTGTTCTTGGGTGCATGTAACATATCTTCTTTGGAAAGGTTTGTAGAATTGTTGAGGAGCACAGCAAACATCCCACGTCATCTCCAAGCTCAACAATGCACTGTCTGGCCAGAAACCTCCTCTGATCTGATAATGTGGAGGACGCAGCTAGAGATTGTCATCAGGTTTAGTGCACCCCTAGCCATGCCAGTTCACTGAATGCAGCAGGACCAAGACTCCCCGTAGCAACATGAACAAGACAAAGAGCGATCAGGCTTTGGAGGTATTAAATCCAGATCCTCATCATCTGGAATTTCATCTAAACGATACCCATCCTGGAGAAGCTGTCTGTTAAGATCTTGTGAGACCTGCTGTAGATTAATCAAACACATGCATCATGAATGAGAAAGTACAGGCAATTACATGGTTTACAAATAAATATAGAAACCATTTCTAACCTCTGCTGAGGAATATCCAGAGGAACATCTAGACTCCAATTCAGCGTCACTACAAAAAAAAAAAAAGAACAGGAAAATCAGAAAACAGAGAACATAAAACATGTCAAAGCCAAGGTTTATGCCACAGCACTAACTGTCAGGGGATTAGCCAAAAAATTAATAGCATTTACAAAGAGGAGCAGCACAAATGAAAAAAGGCAAAAAAAAAAAAAAAAATATATATTAGAATCTCATTGTCAATTATAGACTTCTGTACAAGGAAGCAAAATGGGCTCCCACCAACATCAGGATAAGGACTTGCATCTACTAAAGCAAGCCATACATTAAGTAATTTTGTGTCCTGCAACTACGGGTTGCAAGAAAGGGGGGGGGGAGAAAAAAAAAAAAAAAAAAAAAAAAAAAAAAAAAAAAAAAAAAACACCCCACACACCCACCATGACAGAAGTTGAGTGATGAATCATCTTCACTACAACAAGCCTTCCCCATTCATTGACTGGTTCAGCAGGGATTGGTTGAATTCCAGACAAATTTTGATCTATCTATGGCCAACTTAAGGGAATAGAAGGATGGCTGCATTCAGCTTCCTTGGTTGCCTCTCCCCCCTCCTTCTGCAACAATGAAGGAAAAACAGCATATTAGTGGGATCATCCTTGTGCCCTCTCCTCCAGTAAGTTTGTTCCCAATGTAAGACTGACAGCACTGTACAAAGTAATAGACTATCTCAGAAAAGAGATGTAGAAATCTTTTTATAACACTCTTTTAGAGGTTTATATTTACTCATTAAAAGTGATACTTAACATGCATTTAATTGCTATCTTCTCTTCTATTTATGTATAACGATCATGCCATTGTATTTAAAAGCAGTAGTAAACCGGTCCTTCTTCCAGGTTCGCGATTTCTGGCCGTCTGACTGGCCTGGGCCACGCATGCATGCGCGCGGGAGGTCCCAGGCCACGGCACACAGCTCTGAAAGAATGGCATAGGTATGCCGTTCCTTTAGAGCACAAGCGGCAGCTTTAGGAAATAGAGAACACCTTCTAAACCGTACACGTTTAGGAGATATTCATTTTACCTACAGGTAAGCTTTGTTATAAGCTTACCTGAAGGTAAAATTAAAAAAAAGACACAAGATTAGCGTTTACACCATAGTATTTAGCAATAGGAGGCTGGAGGGGATTGTCATTTACCACTGTGTATACACATACATTTGTGATGTGGGCTGCACACATTAAGAAAAGAAAAAAAAAATGGGAGGAAATGAACAGTTTAGAAGATAACTGAAACTGGAGGAGATGTGTCAATAGATGTGGTCTACACAATCTCAGCCTGCAATGGGGTCACCCACAAGAAGAGAGGAACAGTGAACAACAGGATCAATCAGGAATTTTAAAATCAAAACAAATACTCTAGTTCCAAAGTAAGTATGAACACAATATAATATAGCATGCATTGACAGCTTTTAATGATTTGGGTTTAATGACACTTTAAAGTATTATATTCAACATGGGTCTGCATTTGTTCTAAGCGCATGTAAGCTAGAGCCTTATCACTTGGCTCACAACAGTGCATTTACAGTGTGATTAAAGGTTACCTCTGATCATTTCACAGCACCAGGTTTAGACTTATTCATCGCCATATGAATGCCCCTGAACGCAGCACAAAGCCAGAGCCTCATCAACTATGTGTGGTTAACAATTTGGCTCTAGAGAATGCACTGACTCTTGAGTCCTCACATATTTAGAGGGCACCACGAATGTGCGCTAAGTACCCATGGATACAGGTCTGTAAAGGCCTCAAAGATGAAACTTTTTAAGTTACAAGCAAAAAGGTAAAAAACACAAAATCAATTTACTATTCTTATGATGGGCAGCATGGTGAACATCATAACAATGGAGGTGGAATGGTTGGCATTATTTGCGTTTCCAGTTTGAGTTTAACCACTTGCCCTCCAGAGAATTTACCCCCCTTCCTGACCAGGCCATTTTTTGCGATACGGCGCTGCATTACTTTAACGGAGAACTGCGTGGTCATGCAATGCTGCACCCAATTAAATGTATGTCCTTTTTTGGCATTTGATCGCCTCTGCGTTAATTTTTTGCGCTATAAAACAAAAAAAGGCTGTCAATTTTGAAAAAAAAAAAAAAAAATATTTGACTTTTTGCTATAAACACAGATCCAGTAAAAATATTAAATTTAGGCCAAAATGTATTCTATAAAAAGTACTGACACTGTACTAATGACACTGGGCATGAAGGGGTTAACATCTGGGGTGATCAAAGGGTTAACTGCGTGCTGTGTTTTACTATGTGTGTTTTACTAGGAAGACAAGCTGCTTTGTATTGCTCTGCTGTGCAGGGCAATACAAAGCACCCTGTTCGTGCTGACAGGGGAGAGATCTGTATTGTTTACACACAGACCTCTCCCTGGTCACTGTTCCTCAGTGATTTCCGGGTGCCGGCAGGGAATCTCCAGCCAGGACCTGGTGATCGACAGCTGTAGCCGCCAGCTAGCGCCGCGGGTAGGGCAATGTGCGCGCGCACACACACACACACACACACACACACACACACACACACACATACATATATTTTTTTGCGCAGCCCTGCTACCCTGTAGAAGTAGTTCTGCTATAGGGCAGTCAGGAAGTGGTTAAAATCCATCCTAATCACAGCGTGTATTAAATCATCAAAGTCACTGTGTATTGCGCCCCATACTTCTGACACCCCCTTTAACTCCCAGGCAAAAGGGTGTCACCTGGAAGCCCAAGTGTGGTAGGGACATTAGATTGTGAAATAGGGACTGATATAAAGGGTTCTATGTGCTCTGTAGAGAGCTACATGGTTGGTCATGGCTTTGAAAGTATGGTAAACAGAAAAATGGCAAACCTGTCTGAATCCAGAGAAACCAACGTTTCATCAGATGCCTGGCTCAGGGCTGCATATCCTTTGTTAAACTTTACTGACCTGCTAAAGGAGACAAAGAAATATGTCATTTTAGATATATGGCTCATTTTTTTCAGCCTTGTAGCTCACCGAGCCCTACCTTTTAGATGCAGACTTGACTTTTGCTACTCCTCCCAGCATGCCTTTTTTCCTAAGTGCTGCTCGTGCCAGATCTCGTTGTCTTTCTACAAAGTTAAAAAAAAAAGTTATTTTTACTTCTTTCCTGCAAGAATGATGGCGAGTACTTGTAATAAACTGCAATATTCATTTTATTGTAGGGATTGGCCTGTGAAGCCTGCTTCCCCTGTTCATCTATAAACAAGCAGCACTGTCAAAGGTTAAAGAATGCAGTGCCAGAAAATCCAGTTCACAAACCAGTCTGAGAGGGCTGGGTCCATAATGGCAGTTCCAGTATATAACTGAAGCAAGTTCATTCAGGAAAACACACACACTTGAAAAAAGTGAATAAAGCTCAAAATCCTTCTAATAGCTTTTATTTCCATACACACAAATGCATTGGGAACATTACACATTCTATTCCAAATCAAAACATGAAGAAAAATATATCAAATTTGTGTTGTTCCCTCTAGAAAAAAAATTGAAGAAAACGTGAATATTAGACTGTTAAAAAAAATAGCAGTGTTTGTATTCTTCTTTACAAACTCAAACATTCACTATATAAACTGAAAAATGTTTGAAGATTTTGCTTTCCTTTGAATCACTTAATATTTAGTTGTATAAGCACTGTTTCTGAGAACTGCTGTACATCTGTGTTGCATGGAGTCAACCAACTTCTGGCACCTGTGAACAGGTATTCCAGCCCAGGATGATTGGACTACATGCCACAGTTCTTCTCTATTTCTTGGTTTTGCCTCAGAAACTGCATTTGTGATGTCACCCCACAAGTTTTCTATTGGATTAAGATCCGGGGATTGGGCTGGCCACTCCATAACGTCAATCTTGTTGGTCTGGAACCAAGATGTTGCACGTTTACTGGTGTGTTTGGGGTCGTTGTCTTGTTGGAACACCATTTCAAGGGCATTTCCTCTTCAGCATAAGGCAGCATGACCTCTTCAAGTATTCTGATGTATTCAAACTGATCCATGATATGCGATAAATAGGCCCAACACCGTAGTATGAGAAACATCCCCATATCATGATGCTTGCACCACCATGCTTCACTGTCTTCACAGTGTACTGTGGCTTGAATTCAGTGTTTGGGGGTCATCTGACAAACTGTCTCCAGCCACTAGACCCAAAAAGAACAATCTTACTTTCATCAGTCCACAAAATTTTGCGCCATTTCTCTTTAGGCCAGTCAATGTGCTCTTTGGCAAATTGTAACCTCTTCAGCACATGTCTTTTTTTCAACAGTGGGACTTTGCGGGGGCTTCTTGCAGATAGCTTGGCCTCACATAGGCGTCTTGTAATTGTAACAGTACTCACAGGTAACTTTACACCTTCTTTGATCTTCCTGGAGCTGATTGTTGGCTGAGCCCTTGTCATTTTGACTATTCTTCTATCCATTCGAATGGTAGTTTTTCACTTTCTTTCACGTCTTTCAGGTTTTGGTTGCCATTTTAAAGCATTTGCAATCATTTTAGCTGAGCAGCCTATCATTTTCTGCACTTCTTTATATGTTTTCCCCTCTCCAATCAACTTTTTAATCAAGGTACGCTGTTCTACTGAAAAATGTCTGGAACGACCCATTTTCCTCAGAATTTCAGAGAAATGCACTGTAACCAGCATGTACAACATTTGCTGCCTTCCTTCCTTAAATAAGGGCAGTAATTGCCACCTGTTTTTCAAAGAATGAATGACCTCACTAATAGAACTCCACACTGCTATTATTTTGAACATGCCCCTTTCAATTAGTGATTCAATTACACAGAATCAGCAACATGCATATCATGACTGTTGGGTCTGTTGGATTTCTATTACTCTACTACACCTGCTAGAAAATTATTTGCCATGTAGAAATATTATTTCTACCAAAAACAGTGATTGATCAGGTTAGTGATGTCTGACTGCTATTATTTTTTAACACAACTGTATATATTTTATACAATTCAATATACATATTCCCTATCCCAGTGGACGGCAAGCCGCGGCTCGCGAGCCACATGCGGCTCTTTACCCACTCTAATGCGGCTCTTCTGTGTGCCGGGCGCCTGCTCCCCTCCCTCCTCTCGGTCGGCCGCTCCCCTGCCTCCTCTCGGTTGGCAGCCCCAAAAGTCCGCGCGGACCTTTTAATCCGGCCCGCGGATGTGGCTGTCAGGATGTGTGTAGGCGGGGCAGCGTGCCGAACGTGAGGGGAGGGGAGCTAGGCTCCTCTCACAGTCCGCCCTGAAGACCCGAACGGCGCGGGAAGACAGCGAGAGGAACGCAAAAGGTAAGTGAATTGACACGGGGGACTTGGCTTACTAGAGGGGGGGGGGGGGGGGGGAATAGTACTGTGGGGGATGAAATACTATATGAGGGATGAAATACTATATGAGGGATGAAATACTATATGGGGGGATGAAATACTATATGGGGGGATGAAATACTATATGGGGGGATGAAATACTATATGGGGGGATGAATTACTATATGGGGGGATGAAATTACTATATGGGGGGATGAATTACTATATGGGGGGGGGGGAAATTACTATATGGGGGGATGAAATACTATATGGGGGGATGAAATACTATATGGGGGGATGAAATACTATATGGGGGGATGAAATACTATATGGGGGATGAAATACTATATGGGGGGATGAAATACTATATGGGGGGATGAAATACTATATGAGGGATGAAATACTATATGGGGGGATGAAATACTATATGAGGGATGAAATACTATATGGGGATGAAATACTATATGAGGGATGAAATACTATATGGGGGATGAAATACTATACGGGGGATGAAATACTATACGGGGGATGAATTGCTATGGGGGATGAATTACTATATGGGGGATGAATTACTATGGGGGATGAATTACTATATGGGGGATGAATTACTATATGGGGGGATGAATTACTATATGGGGGATGAATTACTATGGGGGATGAATTACTATGGGGGATGAATTACTATGGGGGATGAATTACACTATGGGGGATGAATTACACTATGGGGGATGAATTACACTATGGGGGATGAATTACACTATGGGGGATGAATTACACTATGGGGATGAATTACACTATGGGGGATGAATTACTATGGGGGATGAATTACTATGGGGGATGAATTACTATATGGGAGATGTATTTTCAGTTTTAAAAATGTGGCTCTCAAAATAAATTTCAATCATGGTTTTGGCGAGATTTGGCTCAGTTGAAAAAAAAAAGGTTGCACCACCACTGCCCTATCCAATTTTGCATTTGCCTAAATAATCATTTGAAACAGATTCAATGATCAACCATACACCAATCTGACCAAACATTATGACTATCAACAAGTAAAGTGAATAGCATTGAATATCTCGTAACAAATGGCATCTGAAAATTGGTGGGATATATAAGCAGTAAGTAAACATGATCTACCTGCAGCTGATGTGTTGAAAGCAGAAAAAAAAAAATAAATAAACATCGCAGTTTATAGTATATGGTGCTGTGTAGCTGCAGATCACACAGGGTGACCATGCTGACCAGTGTCCACAGCCAAAATGGTTCAAGAATGGTTGGGGGAACGATGTTGACTTGTTCTCCCAATTCTCCAGGTCTCAAACCAATCAATCATCTGTGAGATATGCTGGTAAAAAAACAAGTCCGATCCATGGAGGCCTCACCTCACAACTTACAGGACTTAAAGAATCTGCCACGGACAGCTAGGTGTCAGATAAAACAGCATACATTCAGAAGTCTAGTGGTGGCCATGCCTCGACCAGGTCAAGCTAGTTTGACAGCAAAAAGAGAACCTACTCATTATTAGGTAGGTGATCAAAACTTTATGGCTGATTGGTGTATATTTCCTTATTGGCAATTTAGCTAACCCAAGCATCTCCAATGTCCTTCCAGAAACATGAGCCAGTGAAGGAAGGTGCAGCCTGACCATCTGCCTGCAAGATGGGAATATGCACAGCTGAAAAATTTACCAGCTTCCAATAATGCAAAATATGAAGGAGTCAAGCAACAATAAAACATTTGAAGAACATTTTTTTCTACAGAATGGCATATAAATAGAACACTTGCAATTTAGTCTGTTTCTATAGCCTGGAAGGTTATGAATCTGTAGCCATCACCTAGAATATTTTGTCTGCACCAACAAACCTGCTTGGAGATGGTTGAGAATGAAAGGACGCCACCCTGTGTACTATCAAAATCCAAAGAGACCCAGCCATCACATATCCTGTTCACCCCTATGGTGACTATCATGTACATTACACACAGCAATCCCACATTTCTCTGTAAAACTTGGAGGTTTTTACCTGCAGAACTTGTTTTTTAAGCCTTCGGAGACTACAGTACAAAATGGCACAAAGAATTGGACCAAGCCGACATGTTTAATAAGGGATTGCTAATGTAAGCCTTGTATGAACCTGCTATTAAAGAGTCGCTTTCAGCTATGGGGATCTGGTGTGCAATGTGAAGCATGATTACTGAGGAACTAAAGGGGAGGGGGGTGAAACACATTCCAGTCCAAATGTAATATTAAATCAAACTTATATTCCGGGAAAAATGCCGGCACATTTTATGTGCGGTACCCCAAAACTGCACGCACAACGTGAGTTTTGGAGTGCTGTGGTGCCATTTAGGCTTCATGCACACTAAGCCTTTGTGCAGCTTCCCTAAATGCCTTTTCTCCTGGCAGGAGAAAAGTGGTTTAAGAAATGTGCCTACAGTCACGTTTTGCACATTCATTTAAACGTGTAAAGCATTTGAGCATTAAATGGATTCAATTGCCCAGAATATTAATTTTTTGATACCTATTGGAATGAACACATGAATGCTCAAGCGCTCATCTAGGGGCAACAAGCGTCCCCCCGCCCCCCCAACACCTTAAAATGCATGGCACTGCAGCACACCAGTGCATATACAGTGTATGAATGGAACACTCATTAACCACTCGCCTCCTGGGCACTTTTTCCCCCTTCCTGCCCAGGCCAATTTTCAGCTTTCAGTGCTGTCGCACTTTGATATTTTTTTTCATACCAATAGAGCTTTCTGTGGGGGTATTTAATCACCACTGGGGTTATTTTTTGCACTAAAATAAAAAAGCGAAAAAAAAAAAAAAAGAAAAAAAGTTCTCTTTGTTTCTATTATACAATTTTGCAAACAGGTCATTTTTTTCTCCTTCAATGATGTGTGTTGATGAGGCTGCACTGATGGGTACTGATTGGCAGTACTATTGGGAACCAATGGGCAGCACTGCTTGGCATTTTTGGGGCAGCACTGGTTATCAATGTAGATGTCTGCCCTGGTTATCAATGTAGATGTCTGCCCTGGTTATCAATGTAGATGTCTGCCCTGGTTATCAATGTAGAGGTCTGCTTTGACAGCTGCCAGTTATCGGAAAGCACTGCCGATAACCGGCAAGTGTATTTACATGGTGGTCAGCTGTAATTGGACACAACTGATCACGTGGCAAAAGGCCGCTGTGATTGGCCTTTTACCATGTAATGTGATTAGCTGTGTCCAAAAGGACACAGTGATCACAGACAGCGCCGGGTGCACAGTGCTGGGGGCGCGTTCTGGGAGGATGTCATATGACTCCTTCCCAGAACTGGACGACAGGGCTGTAGCCGTCATTCGGGTATAGAGTGGTAAGGAAGTGGTTAACAGGCCCTTTAGCTGTACACTGAGCAACTTATGGTCAGTTCCTGATGAACCAGGTGAAATTTAAGCCATGTATGGTTCTGTTGGCATTCTCCCATTTACAATCTGAAAAACAAAGGGGGGGGGGGGAAATAGGATCAAGATGCTGCCAATGTTTGGTTATCCTGACAGCCGCAGGAGCAGTGGCTGAAGCATACAATAGTTGGCAGGCAAGATTTGCCCATCCACTGTTTGATGTGGATGAGGGAAACAGCCAAAAAGGGCCAAGCAGAAGAAATCTTAGTGTATGGCCTGGTTTGGTAATTTTATGATTACTAAAAATCTGGACTCCGTGGTCCTTATATGCAACCTTAACCTACCAAGCATATATATCACATCCAGGAAGAGGAAAACTACAAATAGGCAAACCTGGGGCAACACCCCTGGATTATGAAGGCCTAACCACAATGACAATATATTACATTTTTGTTCTTGGGTTCAGGCACACTATTAGTACATTGCTCCTCAGCCAGGATTCTATGGAACCCTAGGGTTCCTCCAAAGGTTGTTAGGGGTTCCTTGTGCAATGAGAAATTTCTGTCTCTCCAATAAATAACCCCCGACACCCCTGTAAAGCGGGAGGCCTTCATCCTACTAACCACAAATGTCCCCACTGACCATCACACTACTGTACTGAGAGCTGTAGAGATAGTAATTATCTGGAACATAGAGAAAGGCTGGAATAGTACACCCATTAGTTTCCCATATCACCGGGAATTGATTACTTTAGCCTACTAATCCATAAGAAGAGCATTACTTGTAACCCACTGAGGATTATTTGCAGGAACCGAATAACTTACGCAGCTTGGCCTGGAGTGTTGGACCTTTGCCCATCAGATATGGGCCTTTCTTCTCTAAAGTGGGCCCCTTGGACTCCATTGTCCATCCCTGTTACAGAAGCAAAAAAAAAAACCAAAGTAAATATTTGGACTAGTAATCACTGAAATAAATCTAACCCAGCTGAGATCAATTGAAGGGTGTGTTCAGTGTTATACAAATGTGAATATTTGAAAAACAATGGCAGATCATTAACACATAATCTCATCTAAATTCAAAGCAAAATGATGGTTTGCCCATCATCAGATAAACTCTTCCTGCTGTGTCTTTAAATCAATTTAGTGATGTGCAAACTGATGCGCAGTTTAATGGCAGACATACATGTTCCCCTATGAATACCAGTCTGTGCAGCAACAATGGAAGCTGTACAATGATGGCACAGTGCGGACACGGGGTTACTATATGACCTCACGAGCATCCTACAGAAAGACAGATTATTATCAATCACATGTAAAACTGTTTAAAGCTGGCCATACACAGGGCTTGAATTTTTACCGATTACACCAAGACTCATTTATATTGCATTGGCCAGCTTGACACAATGTAAGTATACTCTACATATCTCATACCTGGGAAAGCTGACAATCACTGCACAAGTCAGCACTACTACTACAGAGATCACTGCAGTCTTTCAGGTCCTGTAGGGCAGGGGACCCAGAATAAAAACCATTGCAAAAGTGACTGCAGGGCTCAATCTTAGGCTATGTTCACACTAGCCTTGTGTGCAGGCGGCAGAGAGGCGTTTGGGAAGCGTTTTTACCGCTTCCCAATAGCCTCTGCCAATTCTGCACATTACAGCACATGGTGCTGTTCTAACGGGAGCGTTTGCGTCGCGTCGCGGCAAAACGGACGCCTCTGGACGAGTCAGGAGGCTTTGAAGCTTCCTATTCTCGTCTATGGTGCCGCTCCGCAAATGCCCGGCCGGCGTTTGCGGTGCGTTTGACGACGGGTTGCGGGGCGTTTGCGGAGCAGTAACACCACTCAAACTGAATTATAGGCGTTTGTGGGGCGTTATTAACGCTCGGCAAACGCCTAGCAACCGCCGCTAAACCGCGCATGCGGCGTTTGCGGAGCGTTAATAACGCCCCGCAAACGCCGGACCAACGCTTGCCAAAAGCTATAGGGGCGTTTGGCAAGCGTTGGCAAAACAGCCTAGTGTGAACGAGCCCAAAGTCTTCACGGGACTGAGATTGAGCTCTGCAGTCTGTTGCAGCAGCTGTGCCGGGTCACAATGTCCTTTCATCTCTTTTGGTCACCTGACCATGTCTATCGCACTTATGCCTATCAGACGATGTTTTCCCAGAAATTTTATATGTCGTCATAACCTTTGATACTGTACCTCGCGACATGGCAAATATATTGGCAACTTCAGTCACAGAGCCACCAGCTAAGTGGCACCAACAATTTGCCCTCTTCGACGCTCAGTAAGCTCTGACATGACTCCATATTACTAGCAGCGCACGCAGGGAATGACGAAAGTGAGGCTTCCCACCTGTTAGCTAGATGTTGGATCACTTCCACTTTAAACGCAAAACATGTAGTCACTTACAGCCTGGGTTCACAAATGTGCCTTGCGGTATATCACATGTGATTCGCATAAGAACCGCACTGCATTCCTGTGCAACTCACATGTGATTTGTGTGCGGTGCGACTGGAGCCGTACATTATGTATGGCTCTAATCGCACTGTGCCAAAAACATGCAGGACCCTTTTTTGGCTTCACACTAGAACCGGAGCGCATGGGTATTCACACCTATGCGATCCGATTCTGCACATTGCTCGTGTTTTGTGGATCGCTTTCAGGGAGTTGTTAACTTAACATACACACCCACAACGGTTCACATGAATGGGTTGTGATTGTGATAAAGTATTCGTACTGAAAACGCTGCAAATTCCGCACCGCATCAGTGTGAACCAGGGCTCACACCTGTAAATCATGTAGAGTTTCCATTTTTTGGCCAACACACACAGCTCAGCATAAATGAGTACACCCCAACAGATTTGTCGGAAAACCTTTTCTTTCCTTTCAGAACAAACATTTTCTATAGTACACTATACTACAAAATACTTCCACAAATATGGGCCATTGATTGCAAACAAGATTTGTTAATTTGCACGCACAAAAAAGTATTTTTCCTAACAAATTCATTCAAGACTTTGTTGCAAAAAATTAATACACCCCAATGAAAGTCTTAGCCTAGGTTCACACTGATGCGGGGCAAAATTCACAGCGGTTTCTGTGTGAATTCCACCCCGCATCACAATTGCAACCTGTTCATGCAAACCGCTGCGGGTTTGTACGTTAACAACACCCCGAAATTGGTTTGCAAACCACCGTGCGCTGTGCAGAATTGGATGGCATGGGTGAATACCATCATGCAATCTGATTCTATTGCGGACCCAAAAAAAAAAAAAAAAAAAAAAAAAAAAAAAAAAAAAAAAAAAAAAAAAAAAAAAGGGTCCTGCCTTGGTACGGATGCGGTGAGATTTGAGCCAAACAAAATGTATGGCTCAAATCGCACCGCACAGAATTTGCATGTGATTTGCACAGGAATGCAGTGCGGTTCCTGTGGGAATCACATGTGATATGCCGCACTGCACAAGCGTGAACCCAGGCATAAGATCAAAGCTAAATTTTAGACAACATCCTAATTAACAAGAATTCAACTACAGGTGCGTCTAATTATTAAGTAAACGGGTGTCCAGCAAAAGTGGATTATAAAAGGGCGTTACTTAAAGAAAATCCCTTTCCATTTCATGCTGTTAGCAATGGTACCACATGGAAGAGAAATGTCACAAGGCCCGGAGAAAGAAAATAATTTCTTTACATAAGAAAGGTGAAGGCTACAAGATCAGCAAAGCTATACTGATCAGTCAGAAATACTGCAGCAAAAGTGATACAAAAATGTAACAAAATGATGGAACTGCAACCATCTCACAGAGACGTCCAGGCCATCCACTGAGGTTAACACCTCAAAAGGAGCGTCTTCTGATGAGAAGGGTTGAAGAAAATCGCCAGGCAAATTCACTGCAGTTAGCTATAGAAGTAGGAAGCCAAACTAGGGTGATTGTTTCCTGTGACACAATACGGCGTACACTGCACAATGGCATGCATGGGTGTTGTCCACAAAGGAAGTCTCTCCTAAAGCCCATGGACAAAAAAAAAGCCAGCCTAGAAAAAGAAGACTACTGGGACGCTGTACTCTGGAGTGATGAGACCAAGAAATGTTTTTGGAACTGATGGCTTCAAAAACTGTATGGTGTCACAAAGGTGAGGACTACAAAGAAAAATGCATGGTGCCTACAGTGAAACATGGTGGTGGCAGTGTCCTCCTTTGGGGCTGCATGAGTGCTGCTGGTGTCGGGGAGCTGCATTTCAATGATGGTAACATGAATCCACAGATGTACTGCTCTATATTGAAAGAGAAGATGATACCCATCACTCCGTGGCCTTGGTCATCGTGCACTTTTCCAACATGACAATTATCCAAAACACACATATAAGGCCAATATTGCATTTCTGAGGAAGAACAGGGTGAAAGTGATTCAGTGGCCAAGTATGTCTCCTGATCTGAACCCAATCGAACACCTATGGGGAATTCTGAAGAGACAAGTAGAGTATCACTCTCCATCCAGCATCCAGGCTCTAAAAGAGGTTGTTCTTGAAGAATGGAAAAAAATATCGATGTTGCAATATGTCGCCAACTTGTTCATTCCATGCCTAGAAGACTTGGTGCGGTCCTTACAAATCATGGAGGTCATACAAAATTCTAGATGATGAAGTTTTTGTTGTGGGGTGTACTCATTTTTGCATCAACTAATTTGAGTAAAAAACTGAAGATTTTGTAATCGAAGTTAGAATATTAACCTTACTTTCATGTAATGAGCAAAATAAATGTTCTATAAATCTGAGTTTTGTCAAAATGTTGGAAATTGTTCTTAAGTTCATTGAGATATTAATTAACCACTTGCCCTCCACCCTATAGCAGAAGTACTGAACCAGGGCGGCACGGCTGCACAAAATCACATATGTATACACGTGATATGCATTTCTGGATAACGTGCCCGCACGCCACCCTACCTGCGCCGCTATTTCCTGCTAGGGATGTCAATCACTGGGTCCTAGCTGGGAATCGGTGATCGTCGGCAGGGTTGAGAGATCTGTGTGTAAACAACATAGCTCTCTCTCCTGTCAGCATGGACATGCTGCTCTGTATATCTGCACAACAGGGAAATACAAAGCAGCATGTCTCCCAAGTAAAACAGCACACAGTTAACCCTTTGATCACTCCAGATGTTATCCCCTTCCTGCCCAGTGTCAGTGTTTTTTTATTAGCACTAATCAACGTATTAGTGTCTCTGAAAAAGTCAGTGGCAGTTAGGTAGTTCACCCCCCCCCCCCCCCCCAGTGCCAGAATGTCCGCCGCAGTCCCACTATAAGTCGCTGATCGCCGCCATTACTAGTATAAAAAATTCCAGTATATATGCCACCATTTGTAGATGCTATAACTTTGACGTAAACCAACTAATTTACACGTATTGGATTTTTTTTTTTTTTTTTAGCAAAAACATGGCGCGGAATACATTTTGGACTAAATTTATGAAGAAATTTGTTTTAAATATTTGTACTGGACATGTTTAATAGCAAAATGTCAAAAATATTGTGTTGGTCTTTTTTTGTTTGTTCTAGCACAAAAAATAAAATTAAAAACCACACAGGTGATCAAATACAACCAAAGAAAGCTCTATTTGTGGGGAGAAGGACATAAATTTAATTTGGGTGCAGCGTTGCATGACCGCGCAATTGTTAGTTAAAAGTAACGCAGCGCCATAACGCAAAAAAAATGGCCTGGTCAGGAGGGGGGGGGGGGGGGTTAAATCCTCTGGAGGGCAAGTGGTTAAAAAGCTTACTTTTCAAAAGGAGGTGCACTCATTTATACTGAGCACTGTGTATATATATATATATATATATATATATATATTACTACTCGTACAGGCATTTATTACAACGCTCAGTTTTGCGATTTTACGGAGAAAATTTCCACCAGGAATGTGATGTTCGCAGATCAGCCCCATGTCCATGCTCCCCTATACACCTATTGGGTGTCTATGTGTCCGATCTCCAGAACACACACACGTCCAATCACACAGATCTGTTATTGGGGGGGGGGGGGGGGGGGGACGACACTGATCGTGGAGGAAGAAGAAGAGGGATGGGTAGATATGGGAAGTGTGGGGTGTGCAATGTTATAGATCACACATATATACAGTATATATATATATATATATACACCACGATCACCGGACTCACAAGAACTTTCAGTCTGTCAGTAATAACCAATCACAAGACAGAGCATTCCCCGCTCCGTACCCCCCGATCATTAGACCGGAGCCCGCTGTACTCACCCCTGCCTGTCCGTTCTCCGCTGGCAAGGTGCGCTGCCCGCTGTCACTCCGGTTCTCAGGCTCCATCTGCCTTTATCAGGCCGGGACATAACCCCGCCCACGTCCTTTCTGCTATCGAATCAGGAAATGTCGGTTTGCTCATGTGACCTGGAAGTCCCTATTTGGATGGAGAGAGCAGTAGCCATGTTGAGTGTGGTAAGGGAGGACTCTGGGCAGAGGAGGTGAACTGTGCAGAGCTTCCTCTGGAGATGACCATTTGCCGGCAGCAATGCTCCTATTTTTTATGGGACTACATTGGGGGGAATCAACCACTTACCTTCCAGAGGATTTACCCCCCTTCCTGACCAGGCCGTTTTTTTGCATTACGGTGCTGGGTTACTTTGACAATTGCGCGGTCATGCAACGCTGCACCAAAATGAAATTTATGTCTACCTTTTTTTCCCCACAAATTCAGCTTTCTTTCGGGGGTATTTGATTCCCTTTGCATTTTTTATTTTTTGGCACTATAAAAAAAAAAGTGACAATTTTGAAAAACAATATTTTAGACTTTTTACTATTAAACATGTCCAGTAAAAAAAAAATTTAAAAAATCTAATTTCGTCATAAATTTAGGCCAAAACGTATTCTGCGACATGTCTGCTAAAAAAAAAAAAAATAAATCCCAATACGTGTAAATTAATTGGTTTACATGAAAGTTATAGAGTTTACAAATGGCGGTATAGATACTGGAATTTGTTTTATTTTTACTAGTAATGGCAGCGATCAGCGACTTATATCAGGACTGCGGTGGGCATTCTGACACTGGAGGGAACTGACTTGGTGTCACTGACATTCCCAATGACACCAATACAGTGATCAGTGCTGCTAAAAAAAAAAAAAAAAGAAGCACTGACACTGTATTAATGGCACTGGGCAGGAAGGGGTTAACGTGGGGCAATCAAAGGGTTAACTGTGCGCTGTTTTACTATGAGCTGTGTCTGTGTGCTTCACTGTAAGCACACTGCTCTGCACAACCATGCAAAGCAGTGTGCAGGAGCTGACAGGGAGAACTGTTTTGTTTACAAACAGTTCTCCCCGTCAGAGATGCTCAGCAATCATCGGGCACCGGTGAGTAATCACCGGCCGGGACCCAGTGATTGGCGGTCAAGAATGGCGGACCCCCCTACCCGGAAATGCAAAATCACATGTACTGTATATATATATATATATATATACGTGATTTTGCGCACCCGTGCCACCCTGTAGCAGTATTTCTGGGGAAGTGGTTAATAATGAGTATCTAAAAAAATGAAATAGTAAAAGCGAGCGCTATCCAATCAGCAGCTAAGCACTCAAGGTAACCAACATAAACCTTACAATAGAATGCATAAAACAGTGCAGCGCTAAGGTTATGATTCAAAACAGAAGAAAGTATTGAACGATATACTGGTAATAAAAGTTCAATATAAATAACAGTCTATGTGACTATAAAGTGCCAGGTGACTGTTTAAAACTTGATGGTGGTCCGTGGAAAAATGGCAGAATTACGCACTCACCAGATGCGTAATAGTTATACGCATTAAGTATCACATCCAAAGGTTTCCTCATCAGATATAGGTCTGGTCAAGGCTTAGGTGTTCCTCCCTCCGGGTAGTAGTCAGCAAATGCCCAGATGACAAATTACTCGAATCCAGGTAACCAGAGGTCCCTTTAAGGGATAGGTAGAAGAGGCTGCCTGCTTACAGGATAACTTCCTTCTCTGGGTATCTTCCTCTGATGAAGTGCGTGCGCACGTAACGCAAAAGGAGGAGCCAGGACGTCGTGATGCTATGCTGCCGGAGCCACGTGGAGGCCCGGCGGCCATCTTTGACTCTGGAGGGTTAGTTCATCTCTGCAGTCCTGATGTTGTTTTATTTGCTTCTACTGTTTGCAAACATTTGTTTTTCCTAATAAATATCATACTTTGAATACTACACTATGGGCATCCTTCCCTGACTCCTTTTGAGGTTTTGTGAGTTGTCTTACCCAGAGAAGGAAGTTATCCTGTAAGCAGGCAGCCTCTTCTACCTATCCCTTAAGGGGACCTCTGGTTACCTGGATCCGAGTAATTTGTCATCTGGGCATTTGCTGACTACTACCCGGAGGGAGGAACACCTAAGCCTTGACCAGACCTATATCTGATGAGGAAACCTTTGGATGTGATAGTTAATGTGTATAAGTATTACGCATCTGGTGAGTGCGTAATTCTGCCATTTTTCCACGGAGCACCACCATCAAGTTTTAAACAGTCACCTGGCACTTTATAGTCACATAGACTGTTATTTGTATCGAACTTTTATTACCAGTATATCGATCAATACTTTCTTTTGTTTTGAATCATAACCTTAGCGCTGCACTGTTTTATGCATAATAATGAGTATCTGCAACAAGTTCTACCCCAACCCATGGCAGCCAATCAGCTTCTATCATGTTTTTCACACAGCTTAGAAAAAAAATTGTTAAACGATAAATTCACTATCAACAAAAAAAAAAAACAAAACAATAAGTGCCTGGGCATTCCGGTGCCATGTGGGAATTGAAATCGCACCTGAAATCACAGCTAATGAATTTTGCTGCAGCACAATTTCTAAAGTAGTTCTCGTATTACTTTTTCTGTTGTTTTGTTGCGATTTCACACACAGAATATAATGGAAATCGCACTGCAAATTACAAGAAATTGTTGAAAATTTTCACAAATAGCAATAGTCTTCAGAAATCGCACTAAAATTGCACACAAATTTCACGGTTTTAAATCGCAGAGGTGTGATCGGTGACTAAATGCACATTTTTTTACAGGCAAATGCACATTTATTTTTGGTTTTGGGAGCCTGTAAAGCATTGCACCAGCAATCAGCAGATCTCATTGGTGTCATGCAGGTTTCCTGCAGCCCTGACAGTGCGCATCTGTGTGCTCACACCTCATACGGGAGGCCGATACTCACTGACAGGAAGACTCAATGAACTACCACAGTGCTCACATCAGTGCCATGGTAGTTCATTGAGCACTACAAGCCGACAGCCGCAAAGGCTGCTGGGACTTGAAGTTTTCTCATTCACAGAACTCTGTGAATGAGTGTTGCGGCCGAGCGGATGTAACATGGTACAACAGGTGAACTTATCCTTTAAAGCTGATTGGCTGAGCTCCAGGTAAGGTAAAGTTTGTTTCAGCCGATTTTTATGTATGGAGTCTCTGACCTGGAGCAAGAATGCAGCCAATTACAGAAGAACTAAAGGGAAAGTGATATTAAAGGATCATTTTTTTGTCTTAAAATAAAAAAGATGTTATACAGTGCTGTGCAAATTAGTTGGGACAAACAGAATATTACGAGACAACTTCAGGTTTACAGAACTGATTTATTTACTATCCGTCAGTAAGTGATATGGCCTCCCTTAGTATGCTGTATATCAGTGGTCTCCAAACTGCGGCCCTTTGCTTGCTTTTTCCTGGCCCTTGGGCCACTTTTGCCCCGCTGTCAGCAACAATGGAGCATAGTTCCTGCCCTTAACACCTACAATGGGGCATTATTTCTCTCTCTGACACCAAGGATGGGGCATTATTCCTCTCACTGACACAAACAATGGGTCACTATTCCCCCCCTAATACCAAAAATAGGACACTATTTACTCCCACTGACACCAAGATATTTTCTACTCCTGCTGGCCACAGTCTGGTCCTCCTACAGTTTGAAGGACAGTAAATTGGCCCTTTGTTTAGAACGTTTGGCCTAGACCACTGGTCTCCAAACTGCAGCCCGTGGGCCAGATGCACCCCTTTGCTTACCTTTATCAGGTCCCTGGGGCACTTTTCCTATCACTGATATGAGGCATTATTCTTCCCACTGATACTAACAGTAGGACATAATTCTTCTCACTTATATAAACGGTTGGGCGCTATGACCTCACCGACAACAACCTTCTTGACCCTTTACAGTCTGGCTTTCACTCTCTACACTCCACTGAAACTGCCCTACTAAAACTCACTAATGATTTACTAACTGCTAAAACCAATGGCCACTACTCCGTACTCTTACTACTTGACCTCTCTGCGGGTTTTGATACGGTTGTCCATCCCCTCCTCCTCAAAAAACTCCACTCTCCTGGCCTCAGAGACTCTGCTCTCTCCTGGTTCTCCTCCTACCTATCGCAGCGCTCCTTCAGCGTTACCTATAACTCTGGCTCCTCCTCTTCACTCCCTCTTTATGTAGGGGTCCCTCAATGTTCTGTCCTTGGACCCTTCTCTTCTCCATCTACACCTCCTCCTTTGGTCACTTGATAAACTCCCATGGCTTTAAGTACCATCTCTATGCTGATGACACACAAATCTATCTTTCTACCCCTCACCTCACCCCTTCAGTCTCCTCTCGCATTACTAACCTACTAAGTGACATATCGGCATGGATGTCACTCCACTTCCTCAAACTCAATCTTTCCAAAACTGAGCTCTTAGTATTCCCCCCAGCCCATGGCCCCCTCCCCTGACTTCCCCATCAAGATCAATAACACAATCATCAGTCCCTCCCCTCATGCCAGGGTACTAGGTGTAATCCTAGACTCCCATCTGTCCTTTCAGCCCCAAATCCAATCGTTGTCCAAATTATGTAGACTTCACCTCCGCAACATCTCCAAGATACGACCGTTCCTAACCTTGGAAACCACTAAGCAACTTATTCACTCCTTTGTTATATCTCGCCTTGACTATTGTAACTCCCTCCTCATTGGCCTACCTCATCGCAGGCTATCCCCTCTTCAGTCTATCATGAATGCTGCTGCCAGACTCATCCACCTTACTAACTGTTCTGTATCTGCCACCCCTCTCTGCCAATCCCTCCACTGGCTGCCCGTTGCCCAACGGATAAAATTCAAAACACTAACAATAACGTATAAAGCCATTTATAACTCTGCCCCAAATTACATCACCAATCTTGTCTCCAAATATCACCCAAACCGTACTCTCCTCTCCTCGCAAGACCTCCTACTCTCTAGCTCCCTTGTCTCCTCCTCCCATGCTCTTCTCCAGGACTTCTCCAGAGCTTCCCCCATCCTCTGGAACTCT